GGTGACCTTCTTCTCAGTCAAGTTCTCATGCCATACCTGGATGTATTCACAATTTCGATGAAGAAAACTTTTTCATAGATATCTTAGAATTAAGAACAGAATTAATAGCGAATGTTACCTTAATACGGTTTGTCGATCAGTCGTCTTCTTGAATGGAATACCATGTTGAGTTTCTTTATGCGAATCTCGCGATATCTTGATCAATACAACTCCAACAAACGAGCTTTCCATAACATGTTTCTTTCGTTTCGTCCACAAATCTAGTAATATATACAACCATATATGTAGCAACGACCGTGATGAAAAATAACACATTCTTGATATCAGCTTCATCACTTAGAGAACAAGATAAGAAGAAAATAAGTGTAAGTAAACAAGCAGAATAAAAAGAAAGAGGGATACCCATTTTGTCTGCGTACATGTAAGAAGAACATGCAGTAGTACACAAATTAGTAAGCTGTAATCATTCACACTTATAGCGAAAGACAAGAAGTTTCTTATGGACATTAAATATGCAGAAGGAAGAAGAAGAATAGTTTAAGCCCGCCGCCCCCTCGGTCAGAAATCTATCTCGGTAACCACAAGTCTGATCTGAGCGAAAATTTTTACGGAGGGTTGGGCATGTTGAGGAATAGTCACTGCATACGTTTGGTAGCTCCATCTGTCATCGTTTAGGAGATGTCGCTCGAAAATGGGGCATCTGCCGTCCGGCAGATTTCCCCTCTCAGAAAACACCTGGAGAGCTCAGGATGATTTTAGAATATAAAATGAAGTTAGAGTAATGATGTAATGGAGTCGGATTTTTTGAATTTTTTCTTTATTTTAATTTTTGAGAGATTTCACCTCAAAACTTCCAAAAAGCTCAAAGACTGATATATAACTTTCAACACTGTAAAAGAATGAAGGCCTAAATCAAAAATCGGGCTCTGTCACGTTGTTCCCATATGTCTTAGCCTCAATTAAAAAAAATTGATCCATTCTGACTTTATGTTACGGAAAAATCTACCGTACAATGAGTTCCGTCAAGCAAAAAACATGTTTCAAGAAAAACGAGTAAAAATTGGCGCATTTGAAAGACGATACTTGGGGCTACGTATTCATGTACTTTTGTACTCATTAGTTTTATGAGAGATTGTAGCAAGAAGATCAAGCTGGTAAGCCTAAGAGACTCATTGGTTTCAAATAATTCAAGAGAACATAAATTTCGTTTGGATTAATAGAACTTTATCTACTCCCATCCATCAGTATTCGTCTGTAGTTCAAGTAGTCTTCGCACTCTACTAAGCATCATATAATACACTCAATAGTGATCAAAATGCTGGAATAGTCAATTATACTCTACATGGTCGGACCGATATGAAAACGTCACATTTCGACATTTCGAAAAACTTTTTCTAGAAACTCATTTCCGCATAGCAAGCATAAGACGTTTCAGGAGAATCTAGATTATTAGTAAAACAAACGTGTACAAGTGTTAAAATTTCGAAGCGTAAAAAAGGCTCTTCATAGTATGTGTCACAGTGTGTTCCTAACGTCAATGTTTACAAGCCAAAAAATAATAAAATTGTGCTGAACTAGTTACTGTCGTAGAATAATAGAGACATTGTCTTACGACAGTTATATTTTTTTGAGTTATAAAAGTGGAGCATCTAACGTAGTTTCCAGTAAGTTTTTGTAACTTCAAAAAGATATTTTGCTATTTTCAACGACCGAAGTGTCATAGAAGACTTTCGTTATCTCTAGCTCGTTTATGTCTTCCTTTCATTACTAAACGTGTTGTTACAAGAATGGTCTGTAGTCAGTCCCTTTTTATCTCCATGTTGTTTCATTTCATGCAAAATCACTAAAATACTAGCAACACTGAGATTGATTTTGAAGAAATAAGTCATAATATACATTTGTATGCGTGTAAAACTACCGTTTCAGTTTTTCACAAACGAGAATATACCTGCTGGTAAATTTCTCCAGTTCTTGAGAATTTGGACAATGTGTCTTTGAATTTAGAGTTAATAGTTTCTTAGTCTAGTAGCCTCCTGTTCGAAAGATCAATGATGGTGACCGTGAAGGCATTCAAGCATTTTGTATTAGACTGTCCACTATACTATCTACATCGTAATAAATTTCTAACTGACTGGTTTGCCCAGCCGCTGATATCTGCTTTACTTCACGAAATGAATATTCTCTTGAATTATTTGAAACTAATGACTCTCTCAGGTCTACCAACTTGATCTTCTTGCTATAATCTCTCATAAAATTACTCAACATTTTTAAAAACTATTCTTCTTTCTTCTGCATATTTAAGGGTACCACAGACCGAATCGGGTTTCAGGTGGATGACCCGAACCCGCCCCGACCCGAAGTGGTACGAAATTTTCGAAACTTGACCCGAATGACACGAAAATTTTCTTAGACGACCTAATAAATTTTTCTGGAAAAAGAGCAGAAGCCTACAGCTTTTGCAATAGCCTAGAACGTTTCTCTGATTTTTTGTCCAAGTGGTAGTTCATTCCAATTGTGATAACCCGAAACAGGAAATCTTTCTCAATCGTATATTATCATGAAGTTTTTCTGGATTTACTTATGTTTCCTTTTTTCTTTCTTGGCTTCAACAGTGCGATACTGTATAATGTACAGTGTACAGTACGCAGCGTCAAAGCAGGAAGGAAGAAACACTGTACATCGAAAAATGCCCCTATACAGGAATTCTCAAAAAAGTTTCTCCATAACGTACTTCTGATAGGGGACGGACTTCAAGTACTTGTTTTTTCGATAAAAAGGTACATGTTGAAAAATAGATGAGTGAACCCTAACTGAAGAAAATTCCCATTCAAGTGGCATCCCCAATTTCAAGTGACAATACCCGTAAAATCAGAAACTTTTTTCCTTTGATCCAACCCGAATCAATATTTTTTACCTCAACTCGAACCCGACCCGTTTCGGTCCTGAAGGGTACCCCGCCCCCTTTTTGGACCCTCTTGAAAACCGGAAAATCCGAATAGTTGGTCGGGATGAAAGTTATAGCAGAAATAGTACATCGAAAAAGAAACTTGATGTATTTTTGCCCAGAATTTTCTGATATATTCTTCCATAGGTTTTCTGAAAAACTCCAGTTTTCATCGAGTCACTTTACGATCCCTCGCAAAAATGGTCCGATCGAGGTGAAAATTTTACCGCAGATACTTTACACCCTACCTTAGGTTTGTTTTTTTCTTTTCAAAAAATATAATTTCTTCCACGACATACACGAAAAATGCTGAAAGCCATGCAAAAAAGACCAGTTTTTTTCAATTTTTTTTGTCTGATTATCAGCATTTTTCGTATACCTCGAGAAGGAAAGCATATTTTTTGAGAAGAAAAATAAAATACCTGAGACTGGGTGTAAAGTAGTATCTATAATAAAATTTTCACCGCGATCGGACCATTTTTGCGAGGGGTCGTAATGTGACTGCATGGAAACTGGAGCTTTTCAGAAAACCAATGGAAGAACATGCCAAAAAATTCTGGGCAGAAATACATCGAGTTTCTTTTTCGATGTTCTAATCTATAAAAATTTCACGCTAACCAAACAGCGGCTTCTCCGATTTCCAAGGGGGTCGAAAACGAGGAGGGGGCTAACCTGAATGTCCATAAAAAAACTTGTTGTCTCTCGCTATAAATGTGAATGATTACACCTTACTAATTTGTGTACTATTGTATGTTCTTCTTATATGTAGGTAACACAAATATTATATTATGTGTTTATAAACTTATGTGTGTTGTTTCTGTTTTTTTTATACCATTCGTGATCAGAGTGAACATATTAATTTTTATGGTCCACTTTCACCATTGGAAGGTCCAAGACATAAATCAATAGATGTAGTATATCTATATACCAACGTAAACGAGATATATATATTAGAAATGTTTGATGCATTATGAACGATCTCTCGTTCTGCCTGTAACCATCATACAATAGAAAGGACAATCTTTCCTTTTTTTACAAGGCAAAGAACGGGCTTTTTAGTAACTGAGCTAGTCCAACTCGCGTGTAAATGATGCAATGGTAATACGCGGACTTTCCTATATAATACTTTCTTCTACAATACAAGATTATGCCACTTTGTCATATGTCCAAAACTGGAAAAAAGATGGGCTCAAGTTGCAGACAGTCTGAAAGAAATATTTGCTACACAAAACGCAAACACAGAGCTTTCTTGAAGGATCTTTCAAGGAAAATGTTTTAGTATTTCCTCAGAAAACACATTTCCCACGCTATTCAGTTAGTTATTGATATACTAATTGAAGATGTAAAGACTCTTTCTGAAGGAAAACGTTTTTTCTTCCCATTGCATCCAACCATTAGAAACTAAAATTTTTCTGTACTTTGACGTTGGACCGAAGAATGCAGTTTTAGTACACTTCTTATCTTTCTATAACGTATTCTTGAAGTTGAAGAAATGCGATTGTTTTCGTGAGTTATTCGAATTACGTAGAATGAATTTCAAAGAATATATAAATCAAATTGTCAATCTCGAAGTCGATCAGATACTAATAATATCATTTATTCCGCGTATTATCACTATTCCAAGTCTGGATATTTTATTAAAAATCATTCTGAAGAATGCGTATGAACGTCGTATGACTTGAATTTCAAAATGGCTTCCTACAAACGGACTCTTGCCGGTGAAGGTGCTAATCAGTCGTACGTAATGAATGAAATACTCGGCGAACTCCGTTATTCTCAGAGAAGTTGAACGAAAAATTTATTTAACAGATGGATTAGCTTCGTCAAACGTATATTAATTATAATAAACAGTTTTATAATTTAATTTCGAACCCGTCTAACTCTCCAACTTGATTTCTATACCTTTTTGTCAAATGATAGTAATCTATCAGTAAGTATCATCGTGCAACAGAACGAAGATACTGTGGTATTCTGCAGTTTTTCCAATCCTTTATCACGAAGAATTAAATTAATTGTGCATCTGTCTGTAATTCTCATCATTCTGTTTGTTTTCTTGTCATTTTCCTTCGTTTCTTCGCTTTGAATCCAAATGTGAGTCATTTTTTTCAGTCACTTGATGATTGATGTGCGACAATGGAGATAATCGCTGCTTCTTATTAGAATTGAGTTGTTTTAAGTTTGATTCTTTAACAGAGTAGACCTGAAATAAATCGATATTATGTCTGGCACATAATCGAATCCCTTGACGAATGCAAATACCGACTAAAACAATAAATGCGCCGCCAATTAGATACATTCCATAAGGAGTTTTTTCTAAATGATTACTCAAATTCATTCCAAATATTCCTGCGCCAAAAGCTCCCGTTGTCACACTTAATGTACCAATACTCAATAATAATTCTAATTTCATAATGGCATTACGAACAGTATCCAATCGAATTTGAATATGCTCTTCACTAACACTAATTAATTTAAGATCCGTTTTAACTTCATTTTCTAATTCATCAACTTTACGTAAATATGTTTCTAAGAGAACTTCAACCTCTGTATGCTGATCTATTGTTCGAGTATGTACCAGTTTTTTCTCTGTTAAATACATTTCACACATATCGTCATCATTTTCAAGTACATCTCGAATAGCATTTCCTATTTCTCTTAGTTCAATCTCGAATGAACTTAAGTCATTCTTAAGCTCTCTTAAATGCATCATCATTAATCCTTCATTAACATTTGTAATCGAATTGTCTAATAATGGCGATAACGATTTTCTATATTGTTCGAATGTTGACTCCAAATTTCGGCAAACAGTCATTAGAACTATTTCTAATACAACCAATTCGAATGGCAATTTTTGTTCAGATTCCATCGATGAATCGACGGTTTTCAATGAGTTCGTTAATAATGATACAATTTCTTGGATATGAGAATAAGACGGATCAAACAAACAAACACTATCAGCTGAAATGATCGCTTTAAATAATTCCAAATTGACAATAATAACTTTTGCACGTGATAATATCGATGGTAAATTACGTAATGAAGAATCTAAAAATCTTATATCTCTAGGATGTAAACTGAACCGATGACCTAAATCCGATCGACGAAATTCGCTTGTCACAACATCGCCAGTTGTATTTACTTCTAACATTTGACGATCCTCACCCTTTGATGGTTCATCGTTTGAGCTATTATTATTTGTTGTTTCACTAGATAATCGTTCAGCAGTTGTTTTGTAAGATAATTTACCATCTGTTGCTCGATCGAAGTTTTCTCGCTGTTGTGGACAAGCGGAGAAAGATGCAGCGGATCGGTCGGTCACTCTCTCATCGATATTATTTGAGGATGGTTTATCGTTTGCGTTTAATAGTATGTTTGAACTGTGGTATTTTCGCCGACTTATTGAAACTGAATTTCGTCGCTTTGAGACACTAATTCCGATTACTTCGACATATTTAACAGGAACAAATAAACGGATAGAAGGGGAAAATGAGCGAACGCATAAAAACATAGAATAAGATCGGTGATAAGATAAATTAATTGATCCAATAATGTTTCAAATTTAATCCGAGCAAGATCGAAACACGGTAGAAAATGAAACGTAAATTGAGAATAGAATTAAAGCGTTGATTGCTAAGCGCACAGGTTACTTAACGAACTAACTTGAACAAAAAATCATTGCTCCTGCTGTTGTACAAAAAAATAAATCACAGATAGAAGTGTCTTTTTTCTTTGGCATATACTACAATAAAAGCAAAAACATAAATTTCATATTTCATCTCTATTTAGTATTTATGAGAGAAGAAAAGAAAAACATTAGTGACGATACTTTTTATCTACACTTCTTACGTTTTTTGGGTAGTTGCTGATGTACTAACACGTGACGTAGAAAGAGAACAAGAATATTTTTCTTCATTCTGTCAACGTCGAAATTATTTTCTGCGCACCGCAGCAGCGTCCTTCTCTTGTCTTTGTTTCTCTCATTTTTTCGTTCTTCTTGACGGACTGATCATATAGGGAAAATAATATAACATTCTAAGTAGTAGTTGAGGATGAGATTACGTTATTTTGAACGAATTTGCCGTTAGAAATTTTAATCTGTTGTTTTGAGTAAACCCCTATTTTGTTCGTAGTTCAAGTGGATCTCTTGTTACTGCAGATGAAAGTTTTGAAATTGTAAAATAAACATTGCTACCCAACTCAATATGGTCGATAACCTATGTTTTCATTCATTTCTAAGGTTTCCAGGTACACAAAAAAACAATTTTCGACAAATCTAGGATTTCTGAAGCCCCTTCGAAGCGATGAGGTTTAAAGAAGATGAATAGTTTCCATTTCCAAGAGGATATTCTGAGCAATCTAATCATGAAGAAAAATCCAAATGTTTTTACCCTGACTATTTTCAGTAGAACACGATTTTTCAAAGATGCTTTGAAATACACACATAGAAAAACGATTTCTTAAATTTTGCTTTTTACTGAAAGATGCACCTGGATCTTTTCTATAGAATGGCGAAAACAGACGATCTCTAGCTCACCTTGTGGAAAAGTTATTCAAAAAATGGTCGAGTGCATTCTGTTCTTTTTGAAATAGTAGTAAGGCGCCCGTAATTCAAAGATCAAGTTAAAATTCGAAAAATTGAGTAGGTATCATTTTCCGATATTTCGCTAACTTTTAAAAAACACCTTCGTATTTCTGCTGCCGAGTACTTTTGAAAGTCACCGATGTGATATTCAGAATCAGCGTCGAAAACTGATTCTAGGCTAGTGTGTCTTAGAATTCCAACTTTAAATCTGTAACTTGGGCACGCATTTGAATCGGATGGTCTTCCTTCAGGAGAGGTTCGGTTTGCAAACCTATCTAATTGTTTGTGTTAACCGTTTACACCCGAAGACACTTTTATTATAGATGCCGCTGAAATAACTCTATTGCATTGAAACTTACAGTTCTTTGGTACATCCATGTTATATCTGGACTTAAGTGGTGCTGCTTTGCCGCGTGGATACATGATGTCCCTTGGAAGGGACATTCCGGTGTAACGACATGGATTTTGTATTTTTTTCATTATTATTCCGAACTTCCTTTTTTACCCTAGTGTGTTACTATGAGTTTCTTTTCAATTCTTTACTCACTAGAAAATGTTTTGATGGAAACAAACGCATTTTTCTTTAATTTTTCCAAAAACGTCGTGCCCGAACGCGTTTTTCGAATCAGGATGGCCCCAAGGGTGCTTCTAAACGAGCTTCTTTTTATCTCAAGGAAGAAAAGTGTGTTCGGACGTGTCTATCTGAAGATAGTTTAGACGCTTCCGAATTTTATTCAGTATTTAAAACGCACTTAGATGGAATTTTTATATCGATCAGAGAAAAACGGCTTCATATTTGTCGGCGACGGCACCCATGGCGAAATTTTAGTAGGTACCGCGGTGTGCACACGCGTGAATATCGTAAAATGGTGTGTGAGCACGTGTGAAAAATATATTCCACTTGTAACAACAGGTGAACTGGTCACGAAAACGTTTCGCGTCGTATTTTTTGCACGTGATCACAGGCGGAAGTCGTGAAGTGTGTAGTGGCCACACGTGAATTTCTTATCTTAAAATTTCCGTAAAAAAATATCACTTGTGGACACGCGTGAAAATGTTTCCCACTAATTTCATTGTGAAAAATATCTTCACATTTATTCGCACGTCAGTTTTCCACGCAACCCATTTCGTGAATAATATTCACGTTTAACCCCAAGCGACAAAATTCTTACGTTTCACGCGCGTCTACGTGAGAAACCTTTTACAGGTGCGAAATGTCGTGAAGATTGAGCGGCAAGCATAAATACAAATTTCTCCTATATCTTCCGAAAGTTGTACATACATACCGATGAAAACCTTTGCTGTAGACCAAAGGTATTTGCTGTAGAATACGCCTGAGAATCGTCTTGTTCCCCGGGAGGAAGTATTAACTAAAAAAGTTTGGAAAAGTTGGAAACTAAGAAAAAAGATTTAGGAAGTTCACGAGTAATCACGCGTGGAAACTTTTTTACACGTGGTAACTCGTGAGGATTGATTCGACAAC